TGTTTTTGTGTACTATAAAAATGTGAATGTGCGTCTCTAACATATAAATGGAACATATTTTGCATTGAGCATTAAATTTTTACACGTTCGAAATCAAAAATAATCAAAAACCCGTTTGCATTAATTGCTTCAATAATTCCATACCCTGTACACAGTGAATAGGATGCATGTTAAGCTCATACATCTAGCATATCGTCTATCTATATCTGTATATATAAAGATATATTTGAAGACTTATTTGAAAGCAATTCTTGAGCACATTCTCAGAAATGAAGTAGAAAAAGATGCTTATGCCTAGGCACAGGGTATTTGCCAGTCGGGCAAACTCGCACAGAACACTCAATAGTTTCTTTTTCCACTTTTACCATTGACCATTTTCAGAGCTTTGAACTTGAAGCCTGATATGCATCATAATTGCGACAATTCATAAATTATCAAAACAAAAAATAGTTGTAAATAAAATAAGCTTAAGAGATGCAAGTGAAATATTAAGCATAGGTCTGTACTAGCTTTATCTAACTTTCTAACTACACAAAGTTAGTGCAATAAATATTAATTCGATTAGTTAAGATAAGCATGGAGACCATATAGATTAGATTGTCGGGTAGTACGCACGTTCAAATGGATTTAGGGCCTGAGATAGAGCCCGTCAAGAGCTACAACTCGTGATCAAAGACAACGAAGCGAATACTTAAAAAACTCTATAAAAAAAATATCTATATAAATAATATAAATAAGTATTTAGCATATTGTGTATGAAGAAAAAATGTAATAAAAATATTTGTTAAAAAAAATATATATAACAAAGTGAAATTAGAACATTTAAGTTAACATTTTCAAGTGCGAAAAAAAATCATCAATTGATATGACACAAACAAAATACCCTGCACATGCCTAGACATTCAATACAATGGAGCGAAAGGGAAATGAACCCGGCTGAAATGATTCTATTCAGACCACAGAGCAAAGCACACACGCATTGTTGGCACATTGATAAGAGCTTCTCATGCTGGGAATAACATGCTTTGTTGTTGTTATATGGGAAATTACAGTCTATGCGGCGGGAATTCCGGGCTTGATAACAAGCCGAGCTGCAGGCATAGAATTAAGCAGAAATGACGCCAGAGCTCACCTGTTATCCAGGTGCCATTGAAGCTACGCAGGCCGGAGCTGCCGTAAATGGCCTCGACTAGTTCCCACGGTGTCTTCAAATCGGCTGTTGGCAATTTGAGTATCGCGGCGTGCGCCAGGCAAAGGCCAGCAGCAGCAGCAGCAGCAGCGAACAGAAGCAGCGGCAGCGCAGCATTTAAACGCAATTTACCGTGCATAATTGGACGTCACAATAACAACAACACTAAAAACAACAACAACAACAACAAGGGCGAGACGCAAACACGCAAAACGAAAGTGAATAGAATGCCGCTAAAAACTAAAAAGCGCAGCGCACGTCGCCGCAACAGAACTTCAACTGAATTCAAAATCAATGTTAATCAGCAATTAGCGTCGCTGTTGCCGCGTTTTCATGACAATTCAAAACAATTAGCGGCGCTCAGAGAGTCGACCCATGAATACCCTGCACCAAAGGCAAGGCAGGCAGCACACATGCAGCACAGTTCACCTCGACAAACACGTACATACGTGCTCACACATGCATGCTTAACTAGCCTACACTGCAGCTCAGCTGTATGCATACACACACATGCATACACACGCATGTCTTCCCGTTAGCTCACGCGTATAGCCTTGCGTTTGCCCCTGTGTGTGTGTGTGTATAGGGTATTGCAAGCAACAAGTCTACCGCAGCATTGTTGAAGAACAGTTAGTGAGAGCGCGCGCGGCGGTGTTGCCGTGCTGCATGCTGTTATCGGACGAAATTATCGATAACAGCGCTGGCAGTTAAATTCAAACCCAGTGTGAGCTTTGACACATCTTTAAATTGTCTAAAAAGCGACAAACGCAATTCATCACACGTCTTTTTTATGCCCTCTTCCAAATAGGCGGCAATTGTGCCGCGGTTAACGAGCGTCAAGCCAAATAAAAGCACATGCAAATGCATTTTTGTACGCCTTTTAAACCGTTAACAGAAAACGAAAATTGAATCAAAATGTACCGTAATGTTAGAATAACCAAAACTAATTTAAAGTTAACTCTAATGCCAATTTAACGAGCAGCTGCTAACGGAATTATGCAAAAACGTCGCCTAAGTTGATGCCAATACTCCGTCAGCTGCGATATGTTCCAGTTAACTTAAATTGTAGATATCAAAGTAAAAGTATATATCATATATATATATAGTGTATATCATGGCCAGGCAGTCTTGGAAATTGCCAGCAAACAGAGGGTAAACGGAAGAATCGCTCGAAGAAAAACGTTCTGAAAAAATTTTTTTTTTGTTTCTTAAAAGAAATTATAAAGAATCTCAGCTTAATTAAGCTGCCATCGCTTTTTGAAAATTATAAATTAGGTTTGTGTGTTCTTTACAATCTTTATTTAGAGTTATGCTTAGTGGTATAAACAGAGTTTGTTTTTCACGATAGTAGAGTTAAACACATTTATATATATATATATATATCTATATATATATTAGGGACATTTAAGCAATGTGCAACCTGTGACATCATCAATGCATGATCGTTAAATCATTTTGTCGATTGTTGCTTACGTTTAGAGAAATTTCAATAGTTTCTTAATTTTGTTAATATTTTTGTTGGCTTTTGTTTTTTGTTTTTTGTTTTTGACTTAGACAACTAATTTAAGTGGTAAAATAAACATAGAACGCTATCGGGGCTCGGGTTATATTTAATTTAAAATGTTTTTACTGTGGCGGCGGCTGCTGCTGTTGTTGCTGCTGCTGCTGTTGGAGGTGTGGCAATTGCATGACACGCGCTAGGATGTGCGCCTGCTGTTCCAGGCATTTGGGGAAGAACGTTTGGAGCAGCTCGAGCTTGCGCTCCTCCAGTTCCAGGCGCTGTCGCGAGATTTTCGTTTGTTCCGCCAACAGCTGGTTCTTGCGACGCACTTCCTCCATATACATTGATTCCAATGAATCGGCCGGCGGCGGATTGCTCGACCCAAAGGGTCGCCCTCGCTTTCTGGGCGTGGGTATCGGTGCCGCAATCGCCATCGCATTGCTGTTGCAGCTGCCGCCGCCACTGCTGCCGGCGGCTGCCATTGCCGGCGGCTGCATCGGCCCGCCATTGCTGCTGCTGTTGCTGTTGGTGGCCACGCTGATGGTGTTGTTGCTGCTATTTATGTAGGCCACCGCCGTAATGGCCTGATGATTGATGGCTGAAGTTGAGGCCGCATTGTTGCAGTTGCTGCTGTTGCCGCTGACGCTGCCATTGCCGCTGTTGTTGTAGTGTGTCGGATTGCTGCCAGCATAGCTGACCACGCTCTGCTCATAGCCAGACTGAAATTGTTGTTGTTGCTGCTGCTGCTGCTGTTGTTGCTGCTGTTGTTGTTGTTGTTGCTGCTGCTGCTGCTGTGGTGTTTGCAGCTCCAGCAGCTGTGCGGGCTCTGCTGGTGAATACTGTTGCATCTGCTCTTGAAATGGCATCGAGCGATAGTCCTCATCATCGTACTCCTGCTTGATATCATCGTACTGATCCGTAAACAGTTCCGTATTGAAGCTCATGTTGTTGCTGCTGCTGCTGTTGTTGTTGTTATTATTATTATTATTATTATTGTTATTGTTGGTGTTGCCCTGGGCATGGCTGCTGCTATTGTTGCTGTTGTTGCTATTGTTGCTATAATAACTATTGCCCGCTGCCTCGGCAGTCAAATTAAGCACCGACTGTTGCTGCGACTGCGGCGTATGTGCCTGAGCCGGCGGCTGCGATTGCTGCTGCTGCTGCTGCTGTTGCTGCTCCTCTTCGCGCGGCGGCGACACATCGCGATTGTTGAGCAGCACCTCTGGCGGCAGAGGTTCCGCGTTTTTGGGCCTGTGTATGTTCTTCAGTATGCGATTGATTATGTCATATTTTTTCCAACGCAAGGGATAGCTGGATGGATCACTTTGCAGCTGTTTCTTCACTTGTCTGCAATTCCATCGAACATACATTATAAACTATTTTAAGAGACTGCACTGACGCACTTACCGAAACTTGGCCCTTGTCTGGTTGACCTTCATTTGTATTTCCTCGGGCTTCACATCCACCGAGAAGCGTTCGCGCAGCTCCTCCGACCATTGGCCAAAATAAACGGTGTTCTTGCCGTTGCGTGTGAGACGCCAATTTTCGCGGCCCCAAATCTCATAGAGGCGCTCCTCCTCGCTGGGTGTCCAATAGCGACGCGCCTTCTCCTTGGACTTCACCTCCAACAGCTCCTGGCTGCCGCACATATTCCCCTCCGCCTCGGCGTCTGCCTTTGTATTTGTGCCCGCAATCACGTTCGCATTTACCGCTGCGCCGGCCGCAGCGCTCCCTCCACCAAGATTCAGTGCCAAATTTTCGTAGTCCATGCGAACGCCAGGGCACGGTTTTGGAGTTGTATCGAAGCAGAAGTCACTGATTAGTTCACTGCATTACCTAAATGAATTTATACAATGCTGTGCCACATATATTCAACACAAGCTTCAATTTTTTCGCATTAAAAATCAACAACTAGGGATGGCTGCGAATATCGATTAGTACACAAAAGTCGATGAATTCATTTCGATTATTTTTGCGTATCAAGTGCGGCAAAGTTCGGAATTTGGTGTGAACATATGGCTATAGAAGTGCACGAAAGACAGCCAAATAGTAAAGTATATAGCCCCAAATATGCAACATTTAAATTGGCACTGTTATAAACAATTTAAGCATAATATGCTTATCAAAAAACATCGATATTTTTCAAACATTACACACTTGGCACATCCATAACAATGCCTATACACATAACAATGTGACCCTGTACGGAAACCCTAAAATGCCCAACAAAAACAAAAAAAATACTAAAATTCTGCCTTGCGCTGTAACCGGTATTTAGCGTACTGCCAAAATACACGTACTTGTCACATCTCTAGTGCTTCCCCAATGCCCATCTCTATTAGGCATTTGGGCCATTCTCATTTAATGTTACTTTAAAGAATTGCGGCACCTGTTAAATAACTTGACTTGGACACAATATGAGTGATCCGGAAAATGAGTCAAAGTCGAACAGACGCGGGCCAAAACATATGCGCCTGCGCTACTATACATCCTACGAGGAGGCAACAATTGTGAAATTGTGGCGCGAGCATTTGCACGAAATAACATCTTACACCGAGAATTTGACCATATTTCGTGAAATTGCCTTTGGCCTGCAACAGCATCGCATCCGGCTCAACAAGCAGGAGGTGCGACGTCGCATCTCCAATTACCGCAACAAGTATTTGTAAGTTGTGCAAAATTTCACATTTCACATTGATTCACACAATTGGCGCACGCCTCTGCACAGAATGGAACGCAATCGCATGGAGACCGATCCGCAGTATAAAACCGAGTGGCGTCTCTATGCGCTCGTCGACTGTCTCTTTCAGCCAGAGACAGCTGCGCCCAAGAGCACGCCCATTGTGCAAACGGAACGCAAGCGAATCGAGCAGATCGAGTCGAGCATACGCAGTGAGCTGCCCAGCCTGCCACGTTTTAATCGCCACGACTGTAGAACCATGAAATTTGAACAGGACCCGAACGCTTGCCCCTTCTTTGAGGGACAACAAGCTGCGGCGGCGGCGGCGGCGGCGGCACAGATTAAGACAGAGCTGCCCAATGTTAAGACTGAAGTCAAGCCCGAATTCGATGTGGAGCCAGCCATGGCATTGCCCGCGGAGAAACGCTCGCCGCTGGCGCCCGCCAATCGCACACTGGAACCACAATTGTTGCCGCCACTGTCGCCGGCAACAGACTTTACCGCCGCGCCGCCGGGCGCCGCACGTCGCTCGCGTCGTCGCACCATAATGCCGCGCACGGGCCAGATAACGCTGGCCCAAATCGAGCGTCTGCGCAAGGAGAACGAGCTGCTGGCCGAGCAGCGGGATGCGAATCTGGCGGATCTGGCGATGAAGGAGCGCGAATATCAGCAGCTGGAGCAGACCTTTGACTTCTGGCTGCATCAGCAGGAAACGTGGATGGCTTACCTCGATGAGCGTGGCATCAAGTAGCGACCATAACCAAACGTTTGACAAACGACTAGTTAGGTTAAAAGATGAATTGAAGGTTAAGCTTTAATTTCGAGCAGCTGCCAATGAAATTGAATGATCTCCGGCGCTGGCTTTTGGTTTCTCTTTTGCGTTCCTTTATTGTTAATGATAGGTATAGAGGTGCTAAGGAAAGCAGCGCAAAATATTTTTTATATATATTATTTAATAAAGCCAAATATTGTAATTCTGCAGGTTAATAATTTATTTAATTGAATATGCGTTGCATATTGCTTGCAAATATCGCGCTTAGCTGCGATATAATCGATAAATATTGGTACTCGACTGTTGGTATTTTATTAGTATTTTTGAAAGTGCTATTTTTTGCAATACCACACACAGTCACACTGTGTGGCATTTTCATCATATTGTCTTCTATTAACAAGTTTGTTTAATTAAAATGAGCGCAACTTTAATAACAAATACAATGCGTCTGCTGCGCATAAGCAGCAGCATTAAATGGCACATGCCCACCATTGCTGCAGTGCGTCAATACGGTAAGCAAGCAGAGACGGCCACAGCAAATGGTAGATTTCATAACAGCCGGCAGCAACGGTATCGATACTTTTGTTTTAGCCACACCGCCCAAACGTTTCTACAAAACAACAAATGTGCTCTGCACAGACGCTGGCTATGAGGTGACACTGGATCATCGCAAGCTGAAGACGCCCAATGGTGCACCGTTTATGGTTAAAAGTGAGCCATTGGCCATTGCCGTGGCCACCGAATTCGACGGCCAGAAGGATCACATTGAGCGCTCGCGTATGCACATCTCCGCGCTCTGTTTTACGGCCATAGACAATCCCAATAAGCTGACGAAGCTCGACATGGTCAACTATCTGCTGAACTTTGTGGCCACCGATACGGTGCTCTTCCAATACGATGTGAGTGATGAATATTCCTTTCGATCGATATCCCACTTTCATATGGACACTGAAAATGTTTTTAGGATGAAAAGGATCTGCAGGAGCTGCAGCGCAATGAGTGGGATCCGCTGATTGAATGGTTTAATCAGCGCTTCGAGACCAATCTGCAAAAGACCATGAACATAACTCCGCCCCAGGTCAGCGAAGTGGATAAAATGAAAATTGCCAAACATTTGCAATCCTATAGCCTGGAAACGTTGCATGGTTAGCAGGACACACGACATATTTGATTAACCAAAGGAACTATAAACAATTGTGTTTCAGGCTTCGTTTTTGCCGTGGACACGCTGAAGTCCATTGTGCTCGCCTGCGCTGTGATAGATCAACAAATAACAGTGGAGCGGGCGGTGGCTCTGTCCCGTCTGGAGGAGGAGTATCAGCTCAAGTTCTGGGGCCGGGTTGAGTGGGCGCACGATTTCAGTCAGCAGGAGCTGCAGGCGCGTCTTGCTGCCGCTGTGCTCTTTGTTCATTTCAATTGTTCCGAAAACTTGATCAAAGAAAAGTCTATATTATAAGCTAATTGCGTGATATTTAAAAAGAAGTTGCCATTTTTTATTGTTGCATGAACTTTGTGCCTAAAAACAAAACTCAATTTCTTAACAAGTGAAAATAATTTAAAAAGTATCGTTTAGCTGCTGCTGCGATATATCGCATATAAATGTTTTATTAACTATCTGGCAACACACGCACATGCTTGAACTGCCTTCGCACTCTCTCGCTCACACACACATTTGGCGCGAATTTCAATTAGATTCAAATGCTTAACTGCACAAGTTATTGTGCTACGCTGCCAAAATGTAAACAATGCGATGCGCATACATAGCGCACGTTACCATTGACGAAAAATGAGCAGCAGCCCGTGTGCTTATGCTGATTAGAGGATTGCTCTCGTGCATGCCCTTCCCCCCTCCCCCTAACCATAACGCTTCACGATCAACTCTGACTGTTCGTACGAACATCTATATTTGTATGTATGTGTGTGTGTATGCACACGACTCTGTTTTCTCAATGCATAGTTGTACAGTTAACTTTGTTGGATTTGTTATCTGTGTACTTATCTGGTGTTTGCTTTGATTTTTATCGCTGTTCTGATCTGTCGCCTGTCTTCGCAGCTTCTCGACTTGGTTGATCCATAGGAAAAGCACACAAAACAGTTGATTGTCAGCGCTTCTATTGTGAAGTTGCAGTTAAAGTTGTGTGTTAATTGTTTTTCTTAGTTTCTAGTGTATTCGGTGTATTTTGTTCATTTTGTTGTTCTCCAATAATGTCGAGAAATGAAGACACGCCGATTGTGACGTAAGTTGGCAGCGAGTGTGAGGGGAGGGGAAGTGTGGGATGGCAATGCACAAAGTTTGCAGTCGAAAGAAATTGTGCAAATAAGTTGAAAATCTTAGACAAATTACCATAAAGAGCAGCAAAGTCGCCAAATGAGCTGCTGATTTGTTAAATAGGCGTAAAAGCGCCAGACCGTGGGATCCTCGACAACTGTCAGAGGTGTGAAAAGGCCTCGAAACTTGCCTGATAGAAGCGGGCTGCGAGTTGAAGTGGCTGAAGAAAAGACTCTAAAGAAAATACTCAGTCCATTTTTGTACTCTCCCTCTCTCTCTCTCTGCTCTTATTTTTTTTGCTGCAATTGCGTTGCAAACTTGCAGAGCAAGTAGTTTAGCGCCATTTGCACTTTTCGTAGTAAAAATTACGCGCACACCCCCCCGCACCCCCGCACACCGTTCCATCGCACTCAACCGACCATCCGCACACATACAGCAAACTTATCAACGGGCACATCACACAGCCACATGTGTGTGTGTGTGTGTGTGTGTGTGTGCAGCCACGCTGTTGTCGTGCCGTTGATGAAGGGGCGCTATAAGCGAGGGCGTGGCATTAAGTAGTCGCCGTAGTTTGGGTTAAGTAACAAAACTTCAAATTGAATTTTTCGTTGCAGTTTTCATTTTAGCACCTATCAAAAAAAACCCTTTTCATGCGCTTCGTTCGCCTCGGCGTATTTTCCTACTTTTCTTTTTATACCCGCTGCTCATTACGCGCATTGGTGGAAGGACGCAGCGGTGGGCGGTGGGCGGGGTGCGACGTAGCGTGCGCTTACATTGTGTCAGGCGATTTAATGCTCTATTGTGTTTTGTTTTGCCTTTTTTTTTTTTGGTTTGTTTGTTTTAGATAAAAGTTTTGCTGTGCTAAAATAAAATACGAAACACAATTAAAAGCGTCGATATCGATATATTGAGTATCGATATATCGAGTATCGATATGCTCGATACAATCGCACATTAATGCATATGTATGCGTGTGTCTAATATAGCTATCTCGTTCTCTTGCAGGCGCAGCAACAATTACGGTACAACGCCAACGCTGCAGTCTGTGGAGCGCGGCGGCAACGACGGCGGCGTTCCTGGCAATGGCAACAACAACAATGCACCTGCAACACCTTCGCAGATTTTCTGTTTGCATGGCCGCTCCAACAACGTGGAAGTTGAAGGTAAGCTTGTCTCCCGAAGGGGGGGGGGGTGTGTGTTGATAAACTTTGGCACTTTTCGTGTCGCTTTCAATCAGCGCAAAGCAATTTGCAGTCATTCATAAATTATCAAGAAAGCGCAGCAGCAAAAGTCAATGCAAAATAAAACAAACATCAAAGACAGAGTGCGAAAGTGTGTGTGGGTGAAAGAGAGAGAGAGAGCGAGAGAGTAAAAAAAAAAAACAGGAAAATTAGTTTTCACAGCATTTTTCGTCAGGTTTATATGTTGATTGTGTTCAGTTTGAGTTTGAAAATCGAAAATTTTTTGCGCAATTTGTGTGCTATTACCCGGTAATGTGCGCTAATTGGCAGACGACACGGAAATGGAAATGAACAACGCCCGTGTTTATCGACAGACGACGATGACGAAAACGACGACGACGACAATGTCAAAAATGACGATGTTGAAGTCACCGCCGTGTCTGGAGAACGTCCGTCTAACTGGTTACGGTGAGCAAATATTCTTAACACCCGCCCAAAACAACCAACCAACCCCCAAACCCCAAACCCCAAACCCCAATCCCACCAAGCCAAGCACCAACCCAACGCCCCGTCATCAATCAGTTGATGATTTTCCAAAGCTTGCTAACTTGGTCGCAATTTTGTGGCGAAAGCAGCACAGCTGCCTCGCCTGGACATAATCAAAATTTATGCTCGGATCGCCGCTTGACTATTGCCATATGCCATAAATTGCCAGAACTGTGACATAATTTACGTATGACAACGCAGCCAAATAAATGACTGGCTCATTTTTATACCCTGCAGCCATTTAAAAATGTCTAAAAAGTGAGCATATGCATGTAGCATATCTGTTATATGCCGAGCATGTTCTACGCTCTGCAAAAACTTGCTTCAAATTTGGAATGGATTTTGTATTCAATTTCCTACATAAATTTGTATTAAATGTACACAGTAGATAGCTTGTTCTTTATTACAGGGTATATGCCAGCCGTTCACGCTCGTTTAGAGCACACGTATTTCTTCTATATAGTAAATTGCCAAAACTATGCAGTTCCACACACATTTCCCCTCTGCTTCGATCAAGTCTGCATTTTAATTTCCTCTCCAATAAGTCTGCACACCGAAGCGCAGCTTTCGTGGTGGCGTCTTCTTTGCACTGCTGATTGGATTTATTGGCAGACGAACGACCTTAAATGACATTACATCATGTCTAGACGGAGCTCCTCCAAATGGCGTCCAAGTCGGCTTGTGGCCAATATCAACAATCAGCTGGCAGCCAATCTGGTTGCCTAATCATCTGCCGCACCATGTGCATCAGCTAACAAGCAGCTGAATAATAAGCGCAGCATGTCGCTAAACAGCCGAGTTACCTGAGCTCCAACTAAATCTAACTAACTAACTAGCAACAGTCGCTTGTTAAGTCCGGTCCAGATGTGTTAACTCTCTGAGCATTCGAATCTTGCGCAACAATCGATAAGTCTAGTGTTATCTAAGGTTAAATGCAATGTTCGCGTTGCCAAAGGAGCGAGAGAAGTGTGAAGGTACATGTGTGTATACCCTGTAATATTCGACTGTGAGCAAACTAAAAAGGTAGCTCGTATGTGAATGCATCAAGCGGCTGTAATTTAATGTGTATTTCTAGAATACACTTTGAAAAAATGTGGTATAGAAAGTGCAACGAAAAAAGAAACTAAAGAACTTTTCAGATATTTCATATTCTCTGTAACAAATGCGAAGCTCTCAAAGTAGCCAAGTATGGCAATTGAAATCCAAAAATATGTCTTTTAATACCCTGTAAATAAGCTAAAAAGTGTATCAAAAAGTTGAGTTGCTAAATGTCGCGCTCTCTCCTTCTCTCCTTTCGCCTCACTTGCTTTTGCGGTAATATGTCGCCTTTCTATGCGATTCTCAAGAATTGAAATATATCGTTAGGTCTCTCTCTGTGCATATAAAATGCTGTTAAAAGAAAGCATTATTATAATGCATATAAAATATTAATACAACCATATATAATATAGATTTATCGTAAGTTTCGCCTTAAAGTCAAGTAAAGTAAACAGCAGTCCGTTTCAATTTTGTATTTGTACGTAATTACGACATTGTAAGGTGCCTGCTGATCATTAATAATTTATAAGAAGTGCGCATTGTTGGCATTCGAAAGACTTCAATGAATTGCAAGCAGCAAGCATTGCAGGACCTTTGGAAAATGGGGAAAGATTTCCACATTGACGCAAACAAACAGGTCGTCCAAGGCGTACCAATTAAAGATGCAGATGGATCGGAGTTGTTTAAATTGCAAGTATGATGATTTTTATGCATCAGCTGCAACGATGATGACGACAACGACGACCAGGCGAACGACGACGGCAGTGGAGAACAACCAGGCGAAGGAGCTGCCAGCTGATGCGGCAAACTGTGTGTTGTTGTGCGGGTCTAATAGGTGAAATGTTCATGTGGCATTGGGAATTCGTACCTGAACGCTACCTGGCTGCCTGGCTGCTTGGCCGACTCGCTCGCTGACTGGCTGGTTATGCACTGGAATTTAATTTCGCTGCCGGCATTGTTACTGCCATTGTGCAGTAGGAGTTGGCGCCAGAGACTCTGTGGCACTGTGTGCAGGAGGCCGAGGACGAACGCAGACGCAGACGCAGACGTAGACGGTGACGTCCTTGTGCTGAATTCAAATGAAGAAACCGCGCAAACCAGCCAAGCTACAAGCGAAGCATATGCACATTCTCTACCTCTTACCTCGCCCCATTGCTGGGTTGAACAAAGGAAAACTGCACAACACCAAGGCGCAGAGGGGCAGGCAGGCTACAACAAAAAAAAAAAAAAAAAAAGAAATGGAGAAGAGAGTGCAAAGAAAATGCAGCGGAAATGACAAAGCATGAAATACGGCTGCGACAAATGCAATAAAGTATTTAATAGACTGCTCCTAGCCAGCGGCCAACGGGGCGAGCCTGTCACTGACACCAAAAACTGGGTACCGACTGCCCAAGCATTCCAGGTCCAACTTCGCTCGTGTGTGTGTGTGTGTGTGTCTGCGCCGTGGCAAAATCAGGACATGGGCAACAGAAGCAGCAGCAGCAGCTCCATGCATGCAGCTGCGAGGCGTGGCAACCATAGCAAACAGCGTCGGTGGTCATTATTCACGTACCATGTTAAATAAATTTAAATGCCTGTTTTGTAAATATGTAAAGGGCATAACAGATGGCTGGGAAGAAGAAGAAGAACCAGCTACAGAGAGGAATATACCGGGCAGAGCAGAGAGCAAGTGAAGCTGGGGCAACAGTTTCCCTGGGGTCAACTCGTGCAACGCATACGCCAGATGCTCCAGCCACATATTTTTAAGATTTCTACAGAAGTATGTAAATATATGTTCTAGTCGGGAGTGTACGACTAGGACATACCCTGAATCGTTTATCGTCAACATGTACTGGGAATTAACTATGTACAAACTTTCAAGGCTCTCGCTCTGATGGTTTCTGAGATCCTTGCGTTTATATATATCGATTCGGCTATTCAAGAATATATATACTTTTTGAAGTCGGAGATGCTTGCTTCCGCCTGTTACATACCCTTGCACAAATACATTACATTCGCTTATAAAAAATGAGGAAATGCGATGTTCCTTGAAATTTTCGAATTTGAAAATCATTTCAAGAGAATTAAATTTAGTTTTCTTGTGAATATCTGTTGTCTATTTTTCCTATTTTAATTACTGTAATTCTCTTGTCTATCCTTCTATATTTATTTGCTTTTCCTTTTGAAGTTTTTTATTAAGGTTAAATTTTTAATCTATCAGGAACTGATATTCCTGTTTCTATTTAATTTAAGATAATTAATATTAGAATGCACCTTTGTATTCTTATTAAAATCAAATATTTATATGTAATATTGTCTTGGGAATTAATTGCCCCTATTCCCCTATCGATCATATAATTTTTTGTTCCTTTCCCATAATTTATAATATTTGTTGTAAATTTATTCAACATAAATCTTCAATCTTTCAAGCTATTCTATTAAAATTTATATTTATAATTATTTTTACTTTTGACATAAATTTCATATATTTATTTGTATTTCTATCAATTAATTGTTCCCTTTTTATTTAATATTCAATTTTGTAGTCTAACATTCTTTTTTAATATTCACAGTCAATTGTAATTTTATTAATATTTTATTGTTGATCTAAATAAAATAGGATAAATCAACTTGATAGACTACTTCTTTCTACTTTATTAAAATTAATTTTATGCCAGAGCTTGCAATATTGTAAATCGTTTTACTTTGTTCATAAAATTAATAACTTATTTATTATATATGTAAATTAAATCTCCTAATATTCCAGCTCTCTTCTAAAATATACCGCCTTCTACATAGATTTTATCAATATATATTTCTAGATCTGTCAACACTTTCTCATAATGTTGTTATATAAAATATATAATATTCATATTTATTTCGATCAACTTTTCTCGTTGCAGTTCGGGATCATTGCCATCGGGCGCGCAGCGAGGGCGTGGACGTGAAGGCGCGCCGTAAGCTGATCATTGCCAGCGTCTTGTGTTTGGTTTTCATGATCGCTGAAATTGTGGGTGAGTTTTTGGGTGTGCGGAATCAAGCCCAGGGCAAGGGTCATATGCTGACAGTTTTGCCTCTTAGCTTTTTTGTTGTTTCTCTTTTAACATTTTTTGCATTTTGCTTTGATTTTTTATTGTTTACGTTGAATTCCCTCAACTAATTTCGCTCAACTCCAGAGAGCTTGGTTAAAATGTCAGTCAAACAAAGCTTAACAAAAACAAAAGGAAGCAGAAGGAACAGCACGAGACGACGGGACGATTAAAAAAAAAAACTGAGCACCGGAAGTGCAACAATATGGCGACCGGAAGGGCTTACTGTCTGCTGCCGTACCTTAACCAACCAACACACTTTATAGAGTTGGGCTGTTATACAATAAACATTTAATTTCCAAGCGCTGCCAATGCCAATGCGACGCTGCCGTCCCCATTGTCGGCTGTTGCTGTTAATCGCTTTGCAATTACCTACAATGTGCCATCGGAGCTGTTGGCCGCATTCGCTTGCTATTCGTTTGCTCTGCTTGCCCAACTGCTCTGTGCTGCTCGCTGCCTTTGCCTCATTCCTTCATTGCCTTTAAATCGAAATTGTTGACTGGCTGAATGCGGCACCTCCTTTTTGCTGTTTTTGCTAACCGTTCAATGTGGCTGGTGCAGCGGGGAGTGGGGAGTGGGGCATTGAGCTTTGGTAGGATTGGGTGGTAGCATCTCTTTGTCCATGCACTATTCCCACAGATTGCAAGTTAATTTTTTTTTTGCTGTTTTGTTTTCTTTTTTTTTTTTTCGTTTCTCTTATACTCGCATTTATTTACCCTTTACTTTCTCGCATCTTTTTCTTCTCTTTTTGGCCGACAGGTGGCGTTTTATCGAACAGCTTGGCCATTGCAACGGATGCCGCACACTTGCTAACCGATTTCGCCAGTTTTATGATCTCACTGTTTGCCATCTGGATAGCCGGACGTCCATCCACGCAACGGTATGTATGCGCCGTCTAACTATCCTGCCTCCCCTCGCAACATTTCGCGCCCCCCTCGCCATCAAACACTTGCATTCGACGAAAGACTTTCGCCAACTGCTTGCCGTCAACTGACACAAAGTCTAAGGGAAATCAATAAAACGTTCAACTTTCTTTTTCCAATTTTTTTTTTTTTTTTTTCATTTTGTGCATTGCCAAACTACTTTTTGACACAACGCTCAAATATGCTGGGTTTTCTCATGCGTAACTCGAACTTTTGACCGTGTGCGACAGTGGGGCAGCAAATTTTGTTCAAGAAACTGCCAAAAGAGCAGCCAAAATGCATATTTCAAGTCGTTGACAACGCTTAAAATTAGTGCAGCAACTAGTTTAGAACATTCTTTTCAATAATATATATGTTGAAAAGTGTGAAGTACTTTATTTGTGAACAACTTTTAATTATTAGCTAATGCATATAATATGATATTTAATTGATAATTGAGCGAACTTCTTAACAAAGTCAATGAAATTCTCGGTTAGAATCTCAGGTTGAATGTAGAGGTCGTAGGAACGTAAATCTTTAAAACTTGATAGCTTCTAGCGTTATCCTTCACATAAATTAAGCAGCTTTATCTGTAAATAACTGAGGCTTATTAGTTCAATTTTTGAACCTGTCCGAGTCTACTTCCTATAAAGCTTCTTACTTTATCCTTTAATAATAAATATATGCATATAGCATATACAAAACAATTTATCTAAGTTCTTCAATATGAATAGGTTTTTTTGTTGGGAGAAATTAAAAGTGCAAAAAATTGTCTAAAGAAAATAAAACAGCAATGAATAACCCAAATAAATCTTAACAATATCTGATTAAAAACAATATAAATCGCATTTGTATATAGATATATGTGCTTAATATGTAGAGAAAAATTAGATTAATATCTTTGTCTTAATGTCTTTAATTTAAGTTATATAAAGATATTTTTCCTATATAAAAAAATTGCTTTGCTGACAGAATTTGAAATTCATTTTGACTTTTATGATATTTTATCAAAAGAACAACTGCATCATAACTAATATAACCGATCTTGTTTGAAGAATTTTTGTATTTTTAATTAATTAATTAATTAAACTAGGGGCTTAAAGAGATTTTTTACGCTCTTAAAACTTTCTCTTTTGGCCTTCTAAATCTTAGCTCTTGCAGAAATAATCGAATGCCAAGAGAACATTGCGCTGTTGCTTCTATCACAGCTAGAGTATTTAATCTTCGGCTTACTTGTGTGTGTGTTTTTTTTTTTTTTTTGGCATCATTTCTGCCGCTCGGCTGGCTACGTCCGCATTGGAGCTTTTGGCAACGCCCCGCCTGCTGCTCTTCGCCTTCGTCTAATTAGGCGAAAAGCCTGTTTCCAAATTTTCACTGACTGCTGCAGTTGCTGTTTGTACTGCTGCTGCTGTTGCTGCTGCCTTTGCGTACATTTGGCCATTGCACATTTTTCAATTGGTCTTTTGGAACTGCGTATCCCTCACCCCGACTCGCCTCTTGAGGGGCTGGTTCAAGTCTGAGGCTCTGAGCCATCGAGTGGGTGCTTTGCATCCATCTTGTACCACGTTCCTCTTACCCATTCCCGTGCTCGTTCTCGTACTCGTACTCGTTCTCGTGCTGGTTCTGGTCCTCATTCTGGTTGCTTGTTCTCTTGGCTGTTGGGCCCCACCCGGCACGTTCTGCTCATTCATGCAAAAATCTCACTCACTCGACGACTCGACTGCAGCCACAAAGTGAATAATGAAAAACTTTTGCAATTTCAAGCGTGTTGCATGGTAATTTTGTAAATTTTCTGCCGCTGCCTCAGACTTTGTGCCTTCTCTTGTTGTTGTTGCTGTTGTTGTTGCAGCATGTGCAGCGCCTGGTTGCAAGCCTCAGCCTTGTGCGGTGCTCCATGCACCAGCTCCAGCTCCGGCTCCGTGCGGTTCACAGAGCCTTGCTGTTGCCGTTCTCGTTCTGGTTCTTGTACTCGCTCCCATTGCCGCTGCCAAGTTGACAAGCCTAATTTATCAAAACAAAACACATTTGCACAATTGCAAAGGCAAACGCAGAAACGCTGAACACAAACGAACGCCAAACACTGCACACTGGTTCGCAATTAGATAGCAAACTCAAGAACTATTAATTAGAATGTTTCACAGCTGAAAACGCAAGAAATTAATTAAAGTAATCGCTGAAAGATTGACAAATTATAAAAAATGCGAGATCAAAGGCTCGAATCAAAAAGGCAGGCTTCATAGAACTAAAGCGCCAGATTCAGATTCAAACGAACTTTGAGCCAATGCATTGGTTCTAACCGTGAATTTTGCTTAGGTTTGCAAACTTGACGTAGCTTTTACGTTTATTAATCATTAGTTGGCAATTAAATAATATTTTTAGTCTCTAAAATAGTTTGTTAAAAATGGATATAAATAATATTTCTCACTTTAGGTAGGTTTCCTAAATACAAATAACTTTACGTAACATTATTCATTACTCAGCCCAAGACTTTTATATGTTTATGTTACGTATTATATAATATATAATAATATATATATTTTTTATTATAATTGGAAGTAATTTATTTAATTACATGTTGCTTCTGTGACGCCCTATTCTTTTATGACCTTCAACATTTCGCCTACTGCTTTTAATTTTTATCAGCTGGAAAGTGCAACCCAATTAACAGCACACAATGATATCTGCTGCACACTCGCTCAACTAATATATCATGTGCACTTGTATTTGCTTGAATGCCCTATAAATGGCTTACAAAGGGTATATTGCAGTCGGAAGAAGCATATGCGAGCCAATTCGATTGCTTGTATTTGATATGATATGATAGCTTTGTTCACCTGTATGTCCCTGTCGAACTCTGGGATAAGAAGGGCTAGAGTCTTTTAAATTATTGACGTAGCTGCTGCTGGTGCCCTTGCAGCTTCAGTCAGTTGCAAATTATCGATAACATTCAGCTTTATCGTAAATTCGATATAAAATCGATATCGAATTGCAGTTTTTTGGGCATATCTCAAGGCTTACAAGACCCAGAGAGACCAAATTTGGTATGCAAACTCTCGCTTGGTAGATACAGATATTAACATGTGTATATGTTCTTGATCAGTCTGAATAGCCGAGTTAATTTAGTCATAGCTGCCCCGACTACAAATGAAAATCACGCTAAGCATGCACACAATGCTGGGCACAGGGTATCTGTCAGTCGAGCAGTAAAGCCTACCTGCTTTTGGCTGGTTTATTTTCGTTTTTGGCCAGCATCCAGACCAATGTGCCAGTGCCAGTAAGGTGGCAACTACGCTGGCGACGCTCCCAGCAGCCAGTACTCCCTCCTCCAGCAGCAGCAGCAATGGGAGCCGAAACCAGAGAGTCGGCAGGCGGTCATTAAGCAAATGGCTGCACTTGCAAGGGGCCCAGCACACAATTATATATACATATACTTATATGTACATATATACATATATATAAATATATATGTAGCGCAACATACATTGACAGAATCTGCTGATGCGGCAGGGGCGGCGGGGTTAGGCGCTATGCGACGGATGTTTGCTGGAAATTAAATTGTATTATTATGGCGAGACATTCGTTGCAAGCATTTTGTTATTGTTGTCGTTGTTGTTGTTGTTGTTTTAGTTGGCTGCCGGTGTGCTGTGTCGCATTAGTTAGCAGCTCTTAAATGGCACAACGGGTTGGCACGCTGGCAGCCTGGCAAAATTGTTGGCATTGCCATTATTTCAATTTTGTAACGAGACCTGCGCCCCCCTTTGCGGACGGCGCTTTAATTGAACGCGCGTCCAGGTGTTGACTTTGGAGCCACAAAAAAAAAAAATGAATATAAAAAAAAAACAGGCTGCGCATGCAATGCGCTCATTACATTAGGGACAACCAAAAAAACAAAAAAAAAACAAAAACAAAAAAACCCAACCCAACCCAGCCCAAAATATCTCATACCTTTGGTACCTGCCCCGCGCGCCCCTTGTGTCTGTCCGCCCCACGCAGCTGGACACTTGGCGCGCCCCTAAAACCCGAGACACTCAAATTAAAATGGCATTTGACAAATTTTTGGGGCGCATTTATCAACTTATGTTAATTTTATGCCGCCGCCCCCCTCTATCCCTGTGCCCCTGTCCCCCTTACCCACGAACTTCCGCCTTCTCATCATCATTTAAATGCGGCGTAGGACATGCTCATGGAAATTGCTTTATCATTTGATTTAATGTTATGATTCTTATACGTCTATCTAGTTGTTCACTGTAAATAAATGAATATGAAAGAATTCTCCCTTTTTTTTATTTCTTGTAAAATTTCGGCAAATATTTTATATATAATTTTTCTTTTTGCACAAATTTAACTAGAAAATATTCTCAGTTATTCGCAGTTATTTATATAAGTAATTATTAACTATTTTTAACTAATACTAAAAAATGTATTTAATGTTTCACTTCTTTCCAAAATGTATCTCTATGCATAATATCATTGAATTTGCGCCCACGATTATGTCACACTTTGTTTGAATAATATCTTTGACACAATCTTAACTTTTATAAACTTGAACTTTCTAATTTTATCTTTGACAGAATGTCATTTGGCTGGTATCGTGCGGAGGTAATTGGCGCCATGGCCTCCGTATTTATGATCTGGGTCATAACTGGAATACTCGTTTGGCTGGCAATTGGACGGCTCATTAGTGGCGACTACGAGGTGGATGCCAAGATCATGCTGATCACATCGGGCCTAGCAATTTTGGTGAATGTCATGTGAGTACCATTGGATGCAGTGGCTGTCGCTGTAGTTGTCTGTAAATGTCTGGCCGAAACTTGGGTCTGTTTGTTGTCTGCCTGCATTTTGGGCCCAAACTCCCTTGGGCAGTTTTCCAATTGCAATTGCCGCAATCAACTTGTCCGGGCATGGGCCAGCAAATGGGTCAACAATGCAACTGTCCTGGCACGGCATTCCTATGCCGTTTCGTATACCATTCGCTTAGTTTTATTTTTCCGAGTCGTATCCGCCGCCAGTTGTTGCGGTAACTTTCTCCACATTTTAGCGACAACTTTTCTATCCACAAGTTTCGAATTTTTTTGCGTCAACAAAAGGCAAAAGCGACGCCAACGATGACTGCAACTACGGCGACGATTTTTGCTTGTGTTTGTGTTGGGCTTGTCCCAAGGTGGAGCTCTTCTCTACTCTTGCTATTTTTTTTAAATTTATTTTTGAAAGGGTATAATCATTTTACGATGTGATTTACCTGCCTTAAAAGTTCAAACTAATTAGATGCCAAATATCAGAATTGTAGTGTTATCGGTTTTCAATAAATTATCCTGTTATCGATTAACAGTTTATTTTGATTTTAAATAACATTTTTACTTTTGCGAAAATTTATTGTTGAATCGATCTCCTTGTTATTTAAATGTTTTAATAGATCGATTACTCAAAAATGATTTTTTGTCTCAATATTTTGTACGCTTTTTAATTTTCGATTGTTTTTGACATTTATGTTGTTAACGATATCTATCGATTTTCATAGTCCCCGTTTTAGTCACATACGGGTTAAGAATGTATAATCACAATCATTTTAACAGCATGCATGAGTTTATTTGAATGCACCTTTAAATAGTTTCATTTTTGAAGCTTTCCCAAGTTCTCGAACGTTTCATCGATATTTAATCGATTACTTTCATTAAAGTAGAGTATTTCCGCTTCGTCGGCTGTCTTGAGGCTTGTTTGTTTTGCTTGTTTTGATTGCATCGTATGCAGCACCTGCAACTGTAGCTGCCACTTGGCACACCCCTCAGCCATCAACCCCTCTCCCCTCCCCCCTCCCTCAAGCTCCTCAACGTCTTTATTCAGCTCGCCTGCAACTCGCCGCCCCCCCCTCGCATGCTGCTCGTTCCTGTGGCTGTCGAAGCATAGTTTTTGGCGCATAAATCGAAACGTTTCAATGCTCGGCACATGCTTGTGAGTGTGTATCTGTGTGTGTGTGTGTGTATGTGTGTGTGTGTGTATGCGGCGACCCGCCGTTGTATGCCCTTTTGGTCTTCTTGTTGTTGGTAGTAGCGCAAATTTTCCAGTTGACGTTGGCATTTTCAGTGTTTGCCACTTAAATTGTTTGATTACGTGAATTGATTGTGAAAAACGTGCAGCGGCAGCAACAGCAACTTTTCCGAGCGCTTTTTTTTTTCCTAAGTAAGGGGCGTGGCAATAGTCCGGCTCGGCTCGGCTAGGTATGGTCGGAGAGGTAGGCCATCAGAATGGAAAGTCAAGTCAGCGCGGGGGCTTAACTTGTCTCCCACTGGCCACCAATGCGTTTGGCTGCACGTCGAGCAGCGAAATTAAATGGTCACCTTTTACTGTTATGCGATCTCGAAAGCTCGTTTTGTAATTGTTGCCATTGTTGTAATATCCCGTTGTAGTGTTCTGTAATAAGAAAGAGTGTTGGAAAAGGGTATGTTAGTTGTGCAAATTATTTATTTGAAAAATATAAATCCATTCCAAATTGTTAGATATTTAATAGAGCCTATTGAAGTTGTGTAAATACTATTAGCGGGCAGCAGAAGAGATCTCCGATGGCATGAAGTGTTCATATTCTTGCTCGGAAGCCGATCTAGCCATGCTATAGCTACTACGTCTTTGTCTGATAGCGAAATCCTTAAAAATCAATATTTATAAATTTCTATAGATTCATTTCCTTTTCAAGCAACTTCTTTGAGTCTAGATATATATTCACATCAAGTTATTTTATGCCCTTCTGTAGGGTATCTGATAGTCAACCAATGAGATTAGCCAGACCATTCATAATGGTGTAGTAGCTGGTATTGTGCCAGTGGCTGCTTTTTGAAGGCTTTTTACTTAGTTTCATTTAAGAGTTTGTCGAGTTTTAAGTTCAATTAGCAAAAGCCAGAAGGAAGGCAACAACTTTTGCGTGGGGCTTTGTTAGATTTACCTCCAGCCGCTCAGAGTGGCAGCTTAAAGTGGCAATGTCGACGATTCCACATCGTTAAAAACGGCCATTAGGAACGCACACACACACACACACACACACGCACGCACACAACCACACACAGGTACACGCATGCACACAAAAGCGTGGCCAGAGCCGTAAATGGCAGGTGGGACATTAGCGAAACCAGCTGAAATATGAGAATGACGCGTAGGTTGGGCGAGTGGAATGCGCTGAGAAAAATAGAGACAGGGAGAGAGAGAGAGAGCGAGAGAGAGAGAGAGAGCAAGTGACGAGATTTTAGCGCTTAGTTTTAGCCGTGAAAGTTTTGGATAGTTTGGATCTTAATTTGATTGTAAAACCCTAAGCTACCGAACTAAACTGAAAGTTTGCCACATTCCCTTAAATGTAGTTGAAAACCAATCTGTTGCATAAGTTTAAAACCAGCCAGAGGCTAAAATAATGACTTATTGAACAATTGATACTCGTATGCACACAAAGTGCAAAACATCTGCAATTATGTGTTTTATTTGAAGATAAACCTAAGGTGGTTCGAACAGCTACTAAAATGGGAATTATAAACAGATTAAGAAGCTTTCCAGTTTAAGATGATTATTGACTTTCAAAAAAATTGTAATATTTTAAACGCTTGTCCAAAAACATTTGCCTCTATTGAAATCAAAATTTATTAAAGTTCTCAGTTCCCGCCCAGTTCTTGCAGAAGAATATCTTAGCTAGAAATGAATTGTCTTGTACTTAATATAATGCAAAAACATTTATTGCAATTCAAGTTAGTTGACAGCTATAAAATATTATTGCGTATTTTAAAACTATTAGTTTGTCCACTTTCGACCCATATATTCCGCCTTTAAACGACCTTTTGCAATTTAAATTGTAAATCATTTAAAGTTTTAAGCTGAAGCGCTCAACTTATTAAACTTTTTTAAATCGATGCGCAAGTGAAATGAATTAACTGGCATTTAAATGAAGTGATTCATGCCTCGAGTGCATTCACATTCACATAATGATTGTATTTGAATAGTATTCAGGAATGAATTTTCGGTGCTGCTGGTTACGTGCACGTCTGTCAATGTAGCACAACAGTGCGGGCCAAATAAATAACAACACTCGGTTGTAAAATTGTGCATTAAGAGAAGCGTAATAAACGTGGCCCTTTGCTGGTCCGGTTCCAATGGGCGACAGCTTAACGAGCTGCTGCTGCTGCTGCTGCTGCTCGGTCTGGGTTGATATGCCCCCGACATCTCTGATTTTGTCCCAGTCACATACGCCGAGGCGTGCTGCGACAAGGTGGTGAGCGGGGTGTGTCAGCCAAGATATGCGCTAATATTTATGTTCCTGTCAATTAAATCAGGACATGTTGCCAGGCGCAAGTCGCCGTTGCTGTTGCCAGGAGCTAGCTAGTCCTGTTGGCTGGTGCTGGGTCCTCCGTCCTGCGTCCTGCGTTCTGGTCCTGGTGTTGGCGTTGTCATGGCTGCTGTCGTTTGTTGGCCACTAACGAGGCGAGTAAAGATGCCGCAAAATCAAGGGAAATGCTTCATTGCGCGCTACAAATTACAGCGACGCAGTTGGAACAACAATGGGGCGCCAAATGGTTAGAGCGAGACGAATGACTAGAAATCCTGCAGCAGCAGCAGCAGCAGCAGCAGCAGCAACAACAACAACAACAAGAACACAAGCATTGGCATTTTTTGCGCTCGAGGACACACACGCAGCTCCTCGCAGCTCGCAGCGCTTTTGACGCTCTGTGCAAATGCCTTGGCAATCGGATGTTCAAAGTCAAAAAGCGTATGTGCTCGGCATTGAATCCTGCTCGCAGGATTTTTATGCAGCCACAACGGCCAAGCCTTGTTCTTGTTGCTGTTGCTGCTGTTGTTGTTTCTGTTGTTGACCGCGTGACGGGTGGTAGCCACAGGCAGTGAGTAGGACCAGCAGCAGAAGCCGGAGCAGAAATACCAACAGTTACCAAAGACCTGTCCTGTACAATTTATTTAGTGGCCATCAACGCGCCAACTGCGACCCAGCTGTGCTCCGAGCGTGTTTGGGAGGAGAGGGTGCTCTTATTTTTTTTGTTTTTTTTTTGACAAATTATGGCCGCATTTGTTGTTCTTCTAGGGAATGCCGCCAACACTGCCTGCTTCTAGAAATTGAAAATGAAATTGACTTGTCAGGCTAACAAGCTCAGGTTCAGGAATTAAATCATCTAGAAAGAAATAAAGCATAGGCAACGAGAGAGTAAAGCTAACTTTGGCAGAAGATTTAATACCCTTGCTGAAATTTGTAAATGCCGAGTTTGATGGAAAACACAATATGCTGCAATACAAGAACTTATTTTTCGACCGATTCTTCATACAGTGCTATACAATATATATAGTAGTGCCATGCTGGATTCTTTATGGGCTTGAAGATGTCTCCTTCTATGCATTCCATGACAAAATAATAAAGCCCTCTACAAGGGTATAAAAAGCGCACAAACTTAAATTTGATTTTAATATGAAAGTTATTATTTTTTTATGCTAATATTGAGCTCAACTCAACTTGAGCTAAATTCTTTTGTGTATGTTATAAAAATAAAAAACCAAAATATGAATATGCTATTGCATTTGGGTAAATAGCTGTTGCTATTTTGGCTTTAACATAAGCGGATTTTGCTGTCGACTCTAGAATTGTCTTTTAAGCTTTAACTGTTTGGGAATTGCAAAGCAATAATTCAGATTCAATTCAAGCAGCTTTAACGATTTACCAAAAACATATTTCATTTAATTTTAAGATGAGGTAGAACTTAACTTACTTTTTAAAAAAAATGCCATTAAAAACATTGTCAAAACGCAATGAAGCTTATCATTTTGGCTAACCCACTGAAAAAACGCACACTTTGCGAACAGAGTATAACACGAGCATATTGGCTCTCTGATAAGTTTATCCCGCTTTAACTGTAGCTGGCTGTAAGGCTAAAAAAAAACGATGCTAGCGATTTTAAGCTTCGAATCCTTACGCCCAAAATGACGGCCATATTGGCGCCTTTGAACTGTTTGCATACGGCGAACAGGGCATATGAAAAGCCGCTTGTTGCACATGTTGAGATGTTCATAAAAATATTGCGAAATGTGCTACATACATATTTTAACTTAAAAAAAAGATAAGTAAAAGTTATATGCAAAAGTTTTTGATTTTATTTTATTTAATATTCAAACATATCGAATTAATATACTGAATAATTTTTACGATATCTTTTTTCGGATACGCACTCAAAGAGTGTGTAATATGATTTTTTATAAAAAGCAATTATTTTGTTCAGAGCATGGTTTAAATATCCCTTTCAGTATTATCCGGATTTCCACACGAGTGCAGCAAGTTTTTTCATGCGATTTTCGACACTGTTGTTTTTGAGAAGGGAAAGTGTTTTAATTTGAAGTTTTGTTATGCACTTTTAATACCCAAAAGTAGTTTGTTTTGATTGCGCAATGGTATCTTGGGGTCAACTATGACGTCACGTCAATTAGCCGCAAACGACGCTCCATTGTGTGTGTGTGTGTGTGGGTGTGGGTGTGTGTGTGTGTGCCATTGGCCTGTGCGTAATTTATGCCAGTTTATTTATTGATGCCCGGACTGGCATTGTATTGTTTCCAAAAAGCCGGCTAAGTGCAGCCAGCAGAGAGCTATGTCCAGCCACAGATCAGAGGGAGGGGAGAGGTATGGGGCGGCATTCAATGCTGGCTGGTAGAGTTTTGGTCATGGCCTTTTTCCCCCAAATAGAAAACCCATAAATCTGCAATGTCGGAGCATTTAAAATGAATAAAAAGTCAATGTGCCGAGCTATTAACTGCCTGATGCATGCCATCCAACCAGCCGGTCACCGAGGCACCATATCGCTCCGGGGGTGGTTGGACATACAGAGATGTTTCAGAGAATGTGTGTGTGCTGTGGATGTGTGTGTGTGTGGGTGTGGGTGTGGGGCTAGTAAACCGGTCGCCATTTTCGACAATACATTTGTATTTGCATGCGACGGTGCATCCGGATCCACAGCAGCGGGCCAAACGGACCGACGGTACGGACGGACCTAGTTGAATGGGCGGTCGAGCGGCTCGCACACCTTCCGGTACACAGAGCACCAATACACGGCATTACAGTGTGACAATATCTTAAACATTTTTCAATTCAATTAAATAATACAATTTCAAATAGCTAAAACCTGAGCCAAAGGCCATTCAATTGTTGCTGCCTTCTTAAATCATATTTTAACCTGCACTGCCAAGCTTTGTTTTATGAAGCATTTTGTATAGTCAGTTTTAAAACTGTTGCGTTTGCTTTTAATGAAACTGTGTGCTAGATTTTTTATATCGCATAGGAATGAAATTTAAGAGCAGCACACAAGCTTTATACTAGAGAGCTTTGTTAGGGAAAATCGTAGAATTTTTATTTATAATAGAACTCAACAAGATTGGAATCAATATCAAGTATTAGGATAAATTCGAATAATATAAAATAAATAAAATAATAATATATTTTCATTTTTGAACATAATTTTAAGAAGAATTTTCAAAAGAATTAATAATATTATCTAAAATTAATAAATAGAAATATTAGTTATATTTAAAATTGATATATAAATTCCTACTAAAATTCATAATATTAAAATACTCTTATCAGATGTAAATTCTTATTTATTTCGCATTGAATTTTTATTGAGGTGTTTTTGTGGTTTTTATTTTTGTCTCATTGGCACCACTGTGCACAGTGTGTTTGTTTGGCTATATGGCTGCAGTTGCATTAAAAGGCTGAAATAAAATGCCAAACAATGCAAAAGCGTCGGCCGCATGCCCGAAAAAGTTTCTTTTTAATTTTTCTTTTTGTTGCTTTTGTGTATGTTTTTTGTTTTGCGGCCAGAGTCCCGTGGCCGTATGGCCCGCAGGCAGGTGAATGTAGGTGGGTGACTGTGTGTGTGTGTGTGTGACTGTGTGTGTGTGTGTGTGGGATACACCGGAGACTGGCGGCGCCTGGCCTGCAACATTTTCAAGTATATTAAATATTTGTGATAACGTTTTCAATTTCTCTTACCATTTCAGCATGGGCGTGCAGCTGCAGCACGGCCACTCGCACGGCTTGGGCGGCGGTCATGGCCACAGTCATGGCAGCTCAAAGAGCAACAAGCGCGGCAAGAAGCATAAGAAGGCCACAGCTCATGTGAATGCCTCATCGACGCCCTGTGCCGCATCGCCAACGAAACGCATCGAAGGCGGCGTCGCCTTTGAGCCGGAGGATGCCGAATTGCCTGCCGCTGGTCTGCCCAGTTTCTCGTATCAGAATGCCAAACTTGTGGATCCAGGATTGGATCTGGAAATAGCCGCCGTCCTGGCGGAAACGGCACCTGGCTCCCATCATCATGGCGGCCAGGTGGGACGCGAGGCTGTCAACATGAACGTCCGGGCCGCACTCATTCACGTAATTGGCGATGTTATCCAGAGCGTCGGCGTCTTTGTGGCCGCCGGCGTGATCTTCTTTTGGCCAGAATACGCAATTGTCGATCCAATTTGTACGTTTGTCTTTTCCATTATTGTGCTCTTCACCACATTTACAATTATGAAGGATGCGCTGCTGGTGAGTAAAATCATTTCGAATTAACTTATTGAACAAAAAGACAAAAGGTTGTTGACAAATGCGTACTGAATAACTTAATAATAATATTTTTATTTACACTTGAATAAATCTCTCGATTAATAAATGTATGCTTAAATAATAATTACAATATTTAAATTTTTTATGCCATGTTTCCATATTGAATATTTTTGTTTTGCTTAAAATCTTTTCATTGACATTCAGCAAATACTTATTGAAAGTGAAACTTTGTAAAACAAATTCAAGATTATTAAGCATACATTTAATTTGTCAACTATATTTATTTTAATTAAATAACATTAACCTAAAACATCGTTAGTGCCTAGTATAATTTGTGGTTACCTTTCGTGGCTGGCCCAATTAGAGTTTGATTTCGCTTTGATCTAATCAATTAATTAAGTTTAATTAATATTTATTGTCATTTACTTAATACCTGCCCCTTTAATGAATTCATCCAGCTACATATATTGCTAATTATACAATTTTAGTTTAACTAGTTCTTCTAAAAGTCAATTACTTACGTGAACAATTATTTTGTTTATTGCATGAAGCATTGCAAATTGCAAACACTTTAATATTTTCTGCTTAAATTGCATTTGTATATTTAAATAATTCAACACTATTGCATTACATTACATTATTTCATATTATGCAAAAATATATTATACTAGGCCTTGTTTCAACTTTAAGTGTTAATTTTTCACCAAACTTTTGCCCGTTGTAAATTTAATTCTGCCTGTACTATCTTGAGCTCCACTCCTCTTTTTATATTATTATTTTATATTATAACTAAAATGTTTGTTTTTTTTCGCGCTTAGTAAATGAAGCCTATTTCATTATTGCAATATTAAAGTAGATATTTTCTGTTTATTTAAATATAACAGAAAATGTACTAAGAATAACGTATTCTATTAAAATTTTGTATATTATATTTATTTATTATATGTTAATTATTAATATAATAATTTTTATTACATCTATTATTGTTACTTGCTATTTTTGTTGTTGTAGGTACTAATGGAGGGCACCCCGAATTATATGCATTATGCCGAGGTATTGCAGATATTCCAGCGCATTGAAGGCGTGGAGCGTGTTCACAATTTGCGCATCTGGGCGCTGAGCATTAATAAAGTGGCCCTATCTGCGCATTTGGCCATTGGTGAGTAGCCTCGGGGAATCAACCGAACAAACCTACTGGGAAAACTGAAAGAGTGTATGTGGGTTAGCGAGAGGAGAGCGTGTGGTGTGGTGTGGTGTGGTGTGGGAGGGGTAGTAGCTACATGTGTGTATTTTCGACTGTGTGTGCTCGGCATGGTAATTATCCCAATGGATTCGTTGCTGTTGTTTTTTGTTGCTGCTGCTGCTGCTGCTGCTGCTGGTGGGGATGTCCGTTGGGTTAGGCGCATCGCATCATGTCCACGGCAAACGCGCGCAATTAGCTTAATTATTTTTGAAATGGCTTTTTAAGAGTGGCCAATTTCGGCGGGGCGCCCATCAATGTTATCAGCATTCGTTTCGCTAATCGTTGCTCAGTTTCTCTCACTCAACTCAACTTGTATCTCTCATTCTCTATTACAGGGGCCAATGCCAATGCCAAGCAGATACTCGATGCGGCCACTTCAGCGGTTCATTTGCGCTACAATTTCTTCGAGACGACTATCCAAATTGAGGATTATACGGCCGAAATGGAGAACTGTGTCCAGTGCTCGGTGCCGGAGAAGTAACCACATGTATTATTGAAAGCGCTCACTGAAGTTTATTGTTCAATTAGCTCGTAAAGCCACAAACACAAAATGTATACTGTTTAACCCCGTACATTCGCTTACCAAAATGTATCTGTATCTATGAGATAAGCTCCCCCTCTTCACGCGCCTTTACTTCACACACACACACACACACACACACACTATGTAAAGTGCAAACAAGTGCCCATCAGTTGGCTTTGGCCAGATGAGAGACAATAATCCTAAATATAATGCGACACGTTTTCCATCACGTCACATAATATTAACATTTTCATCATATTTTCAAACACAGTGGTTCACTGGATCGTCTGCCAATAACATAAATACAACAAAATCTGAAGTATAGAATATTCAGATTTTTGGTCAAAGATAAAAGTCAATAAAATAAAAATCATTTCAACTGGATTTCTGCAAATTTGATAGTGAAAGAAAGGATCATTGGATAAAACATAGTCAAAAGATAGTTTTTTTTTGTGGTGTGTGTGCGTTTAGAGAGATTTGACTATTAACAATTTACTCAATAAGTCAAACATTGGAAAAAACATTAATCAACTATAATAAAAAAATAGTTAATAATATAACCATGGAGATGTTATATTGAAAATGTGAGTCACAAATGGATAAGAGAAAGGAAATGGATCAGAAAAGATGGATAACGAGTGGGGTAAGTAATGTTATAAATAATGAACTAATAATCATATAAAAATATAAATAAGTATGAGTATTTTGTATTATAATTATAATAGTGTATTATGAGAATAATATTCGAACAAATACTCGAATTTCTAGCTATTTGAAGTAAATCATGAAGTAAATCGTCTGTCTGTTTCTCTTCCGTCCTTCCTGTACTTCCGTCTTTTAGTTCAGATACATACGACTAAGCCTGATTGTATCACTATATCGGCGAAAATCGGTGAAAAATTTCACTTTTGTTATGAATAACCTAACATTTTCAGCATATATAATTAAACTTCTTTGATTCTTACAATGAAAAAACTTGGAGTAATACCTTTATATATTATATAGCTTCCTGAGCAGCAGTTCTATTCTATTCTAGTACTATTATATGGCTTCTAGAGGCAATATCATATAGTTGAATAAGTAATTCTCGAGTAAAAATATACCGCATATCTATTTAATCTTTTGCATGCTAATTAGATAAGCTTGTAGCCTCACGCTCAAAAAAATAAACAGAAAAAGAAAATAAAATTTCTTTCAACAAACGATATATTCGTTTGGGCTTTATATAGTATATCTGCCTCTTAGCGGTATTTGCCAGCCTAATCAAACTCTAGTTTTGCTTAAATGTATGATTTGCTAATAAATTTGGAATGCTATCTATCGCTTTATATCTATACATTGACCTAGAATTCCCATAGATATCAGAACCACTGTACAAATTGTCTGTTCGGAAAAATGTTCCATCAGTTCGATGCATTTGCCGATATGCAAACACGCATAAAAGTTATTAAGCTGCCGCTGGCGTTGCACAAAAATTGCATCAAGCGGCATTGCTGCAGAGGGTTGGAGAGCGGGTGGCAGCCATTGACTCTCTACACATATATCGTGTATGCATACAGTGTGCGGGCCAAGCCCCACTAATGCCAATTTATGAAGCGGGCAGCTAACGCCGCAAGCTGCAGTAAAGCTGGCCACAGCGGCTCACCTGGGCGGCGCCCCGCTTCACTTCATACGCCTAGCTGCAAAAAGCCCATGCATAATTTGACATGCGGCCATTGCGTAAGCGACAGTTGCCAAAGCCGTAGCCGATGCCAGCGCTGACGTTGCTGGCGCCGGCGGCGCTTCAAATTATGTCTGAATTCGTGGGCCAACAAACAAGAGCGGGAGGTCGCACAACGTGGGCGTTGGAGCCTAATCGGCGCCAATTTGTAGACAGCTTTGCATGCTTTAAGCATGCCCCGCGGTGGGGGTCAACGTCAGCCGAGCAACAAATGCCGCAAATCTTAGCCAGCAACTCGCCTCTTCCCAGCCCACCACAACCGTGTCGAATAACTAACTTGTTGTCTTGGCCAAAAAACCTGCAGCAAACATCATTTCAGTTGGCGGCTGAACAAAGTTGGCGCAGGCGCAGCTCCGGAAGTACTAAAACAAAAAAGAGCGTCAAAGAGAGCGGCAAGGAATTTGGCTTTTAGCTCATTTTCTCGCGTTGCGGCTTTTTTAAATTTATTTGGCGGCCACTTGACCTGCAGTCCACAATTGATGCACATCGCATGCCATAAATGTAACGCAGAGCTAAGCTTTAAGTTATTAATTCAAACAGACACGCACACACAGACACACCCAAGCATACACTTGGCTAACTCACCTTGACCCAGACTTGTTAGAGTGCAATTAAATTACCTACTCTTCAGTTGGCCTCTACTCATTGCCATTTCATTTGCTTAACCAAATATTAAATGCGCTCAATGAGCGACTAAAGTCAGCGGCATTAGCATTAACAACCTTATCATCGTAATGATTGTTGTCTACATCATCATTATCATTATCATCATTATTTGCCAGTGAAGCAGCAGCACAAAAGCTGAACCAGGATCAGGCACACGCACACAACTGCAGATTGCAAATCTCTAAAGTACTTGTGCTTAGTCTGCGTATGTGTGTGTGCTTGTGCGTGTTTCTGTTTGAGCTTCAAGTATGACCAAATATATCAAAAAGCACAGAAGCCATACGAAATGCTTATACTTTTTAAATATGAATACTTTTAAGAGACTTAAGACACCTTGCTTTACTGGGCTTTTTGATCCTACAATTTGCCATTTCGAAAAATAACTCATAAATTTTTAGATAGTTTTGGCTTAAATCGATAACTTTTCAATTGAACTATATGCAGTTGGCAATAAATTCTTGTTGATAGAGCTGTCGATAATAACCGTGGGGCGTATTTATGATGTTGTATACAGCTTCTCGAAATTGAAAATTTGGCGCCATTTCTCGTTTACTTGTTCGGCGAATTTTGTTGTCATTGTTGTTGCTATTGTTTAACTGATGCAAACTTCGAACTGGCGCAAAGTTTTTAATGAGCAGCGGCGACATTGGACGTCAACGGCGACGTCGCTGCCGCCGTTGCCGTCGACTGCGCTGCTTTGCTTGTTAGCGAGTTGCGAGCGAATCCTTCGCTAAAATTGTTGCTAAGATGCAAATCAAGCGGATAAGAAATTGCAAAGTGAAACACAGCAAAAATGGGTAAAAATTGGCAAACAGAGCGTTACCAAAGGTTGCAAGTTCTTGGCGCATCGTTTTCCGGTCATCTTCCATTTTCCATGCAATTTCCCCATTGATGAGTGAAAATTAATACGCACAGAGCCTAGGTAACGCAGCCAAATCGACCCTTAATTAAAGCCAACAGTAAATTTAGTCACAGACTAAAATGATGGACAATATGAAGAGCTTTTCAGTTTGCAATTTGTGGGTCTACCGTTTAAAAGATGAGCTATAAGCAAAACACTTTCTCTCAACGGTAGTTTGACAGTTAACTTTTTTTCTATTCCCTTTCCAAAGATTCATTTTCCGAATAAATTATGACATAGATAAATCCATCCGTCAGTCTTTCCGGGAATTGTAATACGCATAAAAGGTTTCATTTCCTGAGCTTATGTAGATATAGCCTTCTGTCAGTCTGTCTATTCCCCTTAGAAACTAGTTCATTTTGTTGAGATCTTATATAGACACGTCTATTTGAGGCAAGTTGTATATAGGCAGCATAAATATATAGCACCGGGTACGTGGCAAGTTTTACTTTTACTTTATACATTTCCACTCAAATCTTGGAATCAATGGGGTTCCCGTCCATATAAGCCTTGTGGTCAGAATCTTGAAGCCGAAATATTTTATTAAATGCATTATTTCAATTAAACTTGTATGAAATCAATAATAATACAACTTTTTCTGTAGAAAGGTCTAACAAAAGAGGATAAAAACATAGGTATGTGAAATCGTCTGGCTGAGACTTCTGCAATCGCCTCCTCACTTGGACTCTTCCAGTGCTACGTCTCCCAAGATGCCTGGCAAGATCTCTGCCCTGTAGGCTTCATATATATGTATATATACTATCTTTTTATCTCGATTATCTTGAAGATCTTTGGCTTCAATTGCCGCTTGATTTTCTAATCCTTCATGTCTTAATGTCTTTGCCGAGCTTTGATGAGCTTATAAGACCCACACATCAAGCGATATCTCTATATATATATATATGTACATGTATATATATGTACATTTATATATAGATCAGCTGCATTGCATTTGCCCTGCCATTTCCAGTGGCCTTTGCCCCTGCTCATAGCCAGTCGGGCGTCCTTTACAGTTGTCACGGCTTCCTTTTATAGACAAATATTGCGCTGGCATGTGTCTGGCGGGCTGGCACTTTCCCCAGCTACAGTGTGGCAGGACACGTTTGTGTTTATGTGTGTGTGTTTGTTAGTTTTTTCTTTCTTTCATTTTGTTTTTTTTTTTTTTTTGAATTCCTCTCGTTCCCTTTGGGATTCGGGCAACTCGCTTGCGGCGCTCTTTACACTGCATGGAAATGTCGCGGCTTTGCTTCCTTTTGCTTTTATTTGTTGCTGATGCTGCTGGTTGTTGTCCGTGTTGGTTGTTGTCCGTGCTGGTTGTTGTGTCTGTTGCTGTTGTTGTTCCTGTTGTTATATTTCATGCCAGTGGTCAGTTACGGGTCTGGTTTGCCAGCGGTCCATGGGCATTGGCATTCGGTTATATTGAAAAATTTGAATGCTAGTAAAAACTTTTAATTGTCGCTGGTCAGCGACGTCGACGCTTCTGCCACACCCTCACAGCCCCCTGCCCTTCCATTGCCCCTCGCAGCCTGACGTTGTCACTGCCTCACATTGTAAGCCGGGACATTTAAATGCCGCCATTGCCTGTTATTGTTAACAATATTTTTCAATGCAATTTTCTCTTGATTAAAATATGCAATGGCAATGTTTTCCGGCACAGCCCCATCCACTTGTATTTCTATCTCGCAATTCTCTCTCCCTCTCTCGCTCTCTTTGTCTCTTCACACACAAATTGTGTGCAAAATTTAATACTTACGCTTTATAAACTTGGCCAAAATCGGCTTAAAAAGTTTCCAATTTTATTTAATCAGTCGCCCCGAACTGACAGCTGTTTGCCGCCTGCTATTTAAGTTGCCAAACTAATTCGAATTTGAGTTATGGCAACAAAAATAACAAAAAAAAAAACAACTGAAATTAAATAAACAATAAAATCAATTTTATTTAAGTCTTTGGCTCA